GACAAAGGGCAGGGACAGTGACAAGGGGCAGAGCCAGGGGCAGTGACAGGAGCAGTGACGGGGGCAGTGACAGGGGCAGGGATAGTGACAAAGGGCAGGGACAGTGACAAGGGGCAGGGACAGTGACAAGGTGCAGTGGCAGGGGCAGAGCCAGGGCCAGTGACAGGGCCGCCGCCCCCGCCCGCCCCCGCGGCGCCCCGCGCTGCCCCGGGGATGCGCGGCCGTTGCGCTCGTGCGGCGGCATGGCCGGAGCGGCGGAGCCCGAGGCGCACACGCTGGTGCAGCGGGGAGCGGGCGGCGGCGGCCGAGCCCGCCGGGGCGTAAGTAGCGCGGGACAGCTTTCCTTGCTGCGGGAATGCCCGCAGCCCTTACCGCGGAGACGGAGCGAGCCCGGCGGGGCGGGCGGGGAAGCTCGGCCTGCGCTGCCCACGCCTCGGGGAGGATTAACGGGAGAGGGGGCGATTCCGATCCTCTCTGCCGTGCTGGGGAGGGTGGTGCGCGGAGGCTGCGGGAGCCGGGGTAAGAGCCCGAGGGTTCCCCTAAAGCCGGGCGGAGCTCAGGTAGCACAGCCCTTCCCCGCTCTAAACTTGTTGGTACCCGTGCAGGGTAGGCCGTTGGTGGGCAGAGCTGAAAACACCGCACGGCCGAGCCGGGACCCGGAGGATGGGCGGGGGTCAGCGCGGGGCCGGTGCGTGCCCGGCCGGGAGCGCCGCCGCCGCCGCGGGGCAAGCGCTGGCCGGCCAGAGTGGAGCAAGGCGAGGGAGCTGCTGCTGCTTCCTCCTGCTCCCCAGGACCACCCTACTGGCAAGCTCTCAGGGCAAGGGCAGAGGCAGGGAGAGAGGGACGGAGGTTTCCATTCATCGCCCGCAGCCCCGAGGGCAGAGCTGCCGAAGGGCGCCGGCTCCGCGGGCACCTGCCCGGAGCGCCTGGCCCTGGGGACCTTGGTCTCAGTAAGGTATCCCCAGTATGGTGCTCCAGAGTCCAGCTTTCCTGTGCCGATTAGCAATATCTATTAAAAAAGATTAAACTTCCTTGTGCCTGCATGCAATGTTTACCACTATCAATTGTGTTTAATTTTAGTCTGAGGAGGGGGCTATAACTAACCAATTTATAGGGGGCTTTAACTAACCAAAGTACAATACGCTAAACTGTGTTTTGAAAACTGAAATGCAAGCTGAAATGCAAACAGGCATGCAGTAAATTAAAAAAAAAAAAAAAAAAAAAAAAAAAGACGGACTCATGGTAGCCAGCACAAATATTTCACTGAATACCAAGAACTGGAGTTGAGGAAAGCATCTGCAGACCACAGTGCCCTGAGATCTGTGATTAGATCAAAAATATGGGCTTTCACTATTAAGCAGCCCTCGAGTGTCTGCAGGTCTTTCTGTGAACTGACATGCAGCTTTCCTGACTGAGCACTTATTGCTGCGGTGACGGTCACACGCTCCTGCCCCCGGGCTGACAGCAGCGACGCATGGGCACACGCATGGCCATGAAACCAAGGGACACCTATGAAGGAGGCGTGGTTACCTTCTTGTTTCCTGGCCATTTTACAGCACACTATGGGTTGTGTTTATGTTTCCTTTCCTTTTACTAAAGTTGCCACAGGGTGAATTTTTTTTGAGCAACAGTTTGATTTTTTTGTTATTGTTGCATTCTTGCTTCATTTTGCTTTTGTCTTTATCTGGTATTGCTGAAACCTGAGCAAATATTTAAAATACTGAGGGAGGAGACAGGTCATGGAGAAGTTGAAGTTCATTTTCCAAGTTCCAAAACCTCCAAATTGAGTGAGCCTGGGGTTTGCTGCAGCAGCCTGTATACTTATAAATTTCATGGTATTGAATAAGTTTCTAAATCCATATTACAGTATGAGGTTTTCTAAGCACTTCTGTGATTTGCCCTGCATTGTCTTCCACTTAGCCTCACATGCATATAATTTGCCTGTACTGAAAGTTTTATGCATTCATTGATGTTTTTCATGACCATGAGGCTATATGTTCCAAATAATTTTGCTTGCAGGATTTTTCTGATGTGTCTAATATTGTTGCAGCAGAGCCCTTTAGAAATATTGCATCCAGATTACTGCATAATACTTGGGAACTCACACTTATTGTTTGTGAACCCTTTGGGAGCAGCCTGGTAGACCACCAGAAATATTTTCCCCACCATCATTCATTCAGAGTAGTAGCAATTTCTTCTAAGTGCACGAATGCTTGTGCATAGCAGAGAAATAATAAGCACCTAATATGAGGTGTTATCATCAGAAGTTAAATAAATCCTTATATCAAATTTCTACATTTTGTTAACAAAGTAATGGTGAAAAGTCTCTGTGTGTGTGGCAGGCTCATTTTAAGAAGCTGGCTAATAATAATAAATCGTGTTTGGCTTATGTAATGATCTCAACAGGATATATTTCTTACACAAGGCTTTTCACCCCCTGCACACTTGCTCCTGACCTGACCAAAACCAGGCTGGTTAATGAACTGTATAATCTCTTAAAAAGTTCCCACATCATGTGGAAGAAGTTAAAAACACTCAGTCGTCCTACAGGGTGCATTTTGAACACTCAGAGTTGGCAGCTACGAGCGTGGCAGACCCCACATGTGCTGGGTTGTACACGGCTCCCCAGCCTGGCACCTGGGTATCTCATCCCTCCTCCACAGTCACAGAGTCCATGCCAATGTGCCATGTGTCCTGTGGCACAGGAGCTCTGGCACATGCCAACAGCCCTGGTGTGTTCACCTGCCCTGCTGTGCCCACAAGGCTGGTGGGGCTCATGCCAATCCACTGTCACTGCAGCTGTGCCATGAGCCAGCTACACAAACCTCCTTCAGGCTCTTTGCATTTTCCAAGGCCAGCACACAGCTTTGTGCAGTTGACAGATTGCATTCACTCATTAACCTGTTGTGGTGTGGTGAGTGATATAACTGCAGCTGAGTTTCTTAGGCCTGCTCAAGCAGATCTATCTCCTTCTGAAAGGATTGAGGCTTCAGTGAGCGAGCAGGCTGGGCATAAATAGCAGTGAACTGTGCCCAAAATTCTATATTCTTATCATAGCTGTTTTTAAAATTGAAAACACATTAAAAATACATCCATTTTAACACATTCAGAGTTGTCCTTCATTATCTACATAATAGCATTTGCAATTGACCAGCCACCAAAACACCAACTTCAATGTCTCTTGGGAATGGCTGGGAATGGTTTGTTCTGCAGCATTCTGTAATCCTGCAGAAGTGGCAGAAAGTAATACTGGGGAAGTTGGAAAGGAATGCAAATGCAAAATCTCTCAAATCAAAGCAGTTCTACCTTCGAATCAACAGCTGATGTGGAAGCAGAAATTGCAGAGTTGGGCTAAAAAGAATATGAGGAGGATGAGGGGAGGACACCTGAGGAGGGAGAAGTACAGGTGCCCCACTGGAAAAAGGGCACTGGAGTGTATGGCAACAAGTTACTGTTGGAAACTTGAATTTGGATTACAAAACCTAGTTTGTAGGCATAATTTTAATTCTTTTGGTCACAATTTCATTAATCCTTATTGGGGGGGGGGGAGGGCACATTATCTTGTGAATTTTCATCCAAGTCAGACCGACCCACAGACCTGTTGTATCACATATATGCTATACCTTACTTCACTGTGTTACTGCTATACTGTCAACAATTTCCTTTGTTGACATTATGCTTCCTCAACATTTTACTTTTTGGTGTGGGAGCTGGTAGAATGCTTGCAGCAGAGCTCTGTGAGGTTGAAAGAAGTTCAAATGTTCACTTATGCCTCCATAGATGTTAAGCGACATGCTGTCACTTCAAATGTAATGTTTCTCAGATTGAGCAAGGGAAAGTGTTTCAGGCTATTATTCTGCAGCAAGGACATCTGCTTGCAGGAGCCGTGCAAGATAGCTAAGGAGAGTTTAAAACCTGAGGTACATTAATTTTGAGTGTATTAACAATGGCTGCATATTTTCTTTGTTTTTCAGAATTGGTCTGGAAGTCTTATTGTAGCTTCCCTAACTGGTGCTTTTGGGTCGTCTTTTCTTTATGGTTACAATTTGTCGGTGGTGAACGCTCCCGCAGTGGTAAGAGACTGACTGAAGTGGAATTTAACATCAGCAGAGGGCAGCCTTGTCCAACTATTGTGCTCCTCAGCATCCTGCCTTTACAGTCCTGATTACATAGTAGAAGGGGATTAAATCTTGCATAGTAACGTTCCTTTGCCCAAAACTTTCTTTCTGCTTTCCATGAGGTTTCCACATGAATTCAGTAACTGTCAGAGAGCTAAATGCTGCTGTGGAGGTGAATGGGTGCACACGGTTTGTTTCTCATTCTCCCAGGTCCAGGCTAATCCTGAATCTTCTTGCACACTTTTGTGTGATAAAGTATTTTTAATATCTGACTGGTGAGTATTCAGTAGCAGCATGCACATGTTCAGCAACTTCTGTTCACATCATTCAATTCTAGAGGGTTGCACAACATTTCATTCCCACAGTACTGATATTATAAATAAGGCTTCTGGTTTCCTCTCAAATAATGGGCCTCCTCTTCTGTGCTTTGTTGTGACACCATGTTTGGTTCTGAATTTTAAACTTCTGGGTTGACCATCTATTGGCTGCAACATGTGGGATAGATTTGATGAATACAGCACTGTGAAATCAGTATAAAAAATGTGTGGGGATTTCATTAAAGTATCAGTTATTACAAATGGAAATCTGAACATTTTGTTTTTACACTGGTTGTCTGGAGACCCTCAATTCAGCCGAGCACAACAGGAAGCAATTCAGTGGAGTTGCAAGCAACACCAACACTATGTTGAAAAGTAGCTGGTAAATATTGGGAATTAACTGTGGAAATTCCATCTAAAAATAATTCCTTTCCAAAGCTAAGCTCCCTCTCTTATGAAAATCTCCTATTAAAATATGTAACTAGATTTCCATCTACAGTTCTTTTCATGTTAAAGCTGGATGCAATATTTATGCAAATAACAAAATAAGCATTTTTTAAAAATTATGTTTTATATGTGGATTTTATTTGGTAAACTGCTGACTCAAAGGAGTAGAAAGATACTCAGCCTATAGAAATTTTTATTGCTCGCTTCATAAGTTCTGGGAGTTTTCTTCGAGTTCCTGGTGTTTTATATACTGCTAACTCAAGGTCGGATAAACTGGATGTTAGCATGATATATCCAAGCATCATTTCACCTTGCAGCCATCAGAGGATAAACACAGTAATTGTAATTCTGTGAGCAATAGTATTGATGATTGTCCTGATGGAAGAACCCTTCCTGCACTGCCTTGGGACTGTCAACAGAGTAGTGAGAATGAGCCAATTTCTAAACTTTCAAGTACCGTTTTAAAAATGGACTGTCCCGGTAGTCAGAGCTTTCCTGTCACTTTCTGCAGGAGTAAGGGAAAGAAAGGATGATGGGATCAGCTCCTTGGCAGCGCTCAGGAAGTTCTCTTTGAACCATGTGATAGATTACAGTGGTATGAATGGGGAGGTTGAAGATGCAACCCTCTGATAAATGCTAAATTCCAGGTTTTGTACTTCATAACACTTCCAGGATTGTCTGATTTTGCTTGAAACCTTTAGTGTGGCTTTTGGGCTAAAAACTAGGCACTGTGCTTTGGTCATACCATTACAGGTATGCATGGAGTATCCCTTGGTTTCAGTGTTTAATTGAGAATTTCGTATCTCTCTTATTCATGTTAAGCCATACATTAGCTAGGGCTAGGAGTAGCCTTACTGTCAAGGAAGTTGTGTAGTTCAAGAATAAAATATCACTCTGCCCTCTGGCCTCCCTCTAGCTCCAGAATTAATGTGTGTCATCCATTTGCTATGACAGACCACTTTCCTGTCCCTGTCCCTGGAGATGCTTTGACCAGCAGCAGAAGGGAAGAGCACAGGCTGAGGTCATAGCCATGGTGGGGAACAGTGAGCCATATCAAAGCTGAAAAGGAAAGAAAAGGAACCTTTGCCCCATCTATTTTCACCTGTGTGTTACTAAATCAGTCTGCCACAAGATGACCCTTTGAGAATACTGATATGAGACAACTGAGAAACACCAAAGCAGAGTATCTTGTAGCTGTGCATAAAAGCAGCCTTGTAAGAGTTTTACTGAGAATGCAGTAATTCCTACAAGTTCCAAGCTGAGTTTCATTTATAAAATTGGTAGGATGAATAACTTCTTGTGATGTCATGCAGCTTACAGCTGACATTGTCAAACTGTCCTTCTCTCTGTAGGATGCTGGGTATCTTCTGCCCCTGTTTACTTCAGTACAGTTCCTCTTGATGCTGAAGTCCTCCAGCCTTAGAGAAGGACTGTATAATCCTTTGAGAAGTAGGGAAAAAAGTCTTGATAAAGACATTTGACTAAAACACAGAATGTTACTAGGAACCTCGAACTGAGAATGTCAGCAGGCTGTCAGCAGGAGCTGATGGAGTGAAGGAAATTAATTTAAGACTGAGGTGTTGAAGAACTATTTGTAAATTCTTGTGTCCATTTACTTTCAGTGCCACAAATTGTGTCTGCTCATCAAACCACAGGGGAATTGTCCTATAGTTCTCACTGGTGGGCTTTTCTTCAGGTCATCTCATGAAGCAGAATTAGTCCAACTTCCTGATGGTTGCAAGGGGGAAATAAGCTGCACATACTCTGTTCAGAGTAAAGATTGTTTCCCACTCAGTTCCCTGTGGTTCTGTAGGAAAGATCATGGCCCATCACAGGTATGATTCCCTGAGAAATCCAGAAGTACAAGTTTCCATGGGCTTGTTCAAAGGCTTACCATAATTTATTAAAAACATATGGGAGCATTTGGCAATAGGAAGACAAAAGATTTAATTGAATACAAGATGAAGCTGCCTTTTTTTCTGAGCTGAAGTTCTGCAGTTCATTTCATGGACTGATTGTGGGCAATGCCTGTGGAACAATGATGTGCTTTGTGCTCTGTGCAGGAAGCAAAGTCCCTGTGACTTTCTGCCTTGCAGCCCTTGCCCTCCTCCTGCAGGAGGCTGCAGCTCTGGGTTCCTATGGCACAAACATGCAGCCTGCTGTGACAGCTGCTTCAGTACTTGTCACTGTGTGTGACCTCTGTAACCATGGGTAAGACAAGGAAAACATCTCTCTTGTTTTTAAAATACATCCATTAGATTCATATATATAAAAATTTATATATCCCTTATACTCCTCATCCCAGCACTACTATCATAATAAATTGAGGCAGTTGAGAAAATAAAGTACTGATATCAGCCAGCCACCATTTTTTGTAGGTTTTGTGTAGGGGCTAAAATTTTTGTATACAGGTTTACTCCTTTAGTGTTATTGAGACACGTGTTCAAAATCCCAAAGGAGCTTTTACACAGAATTCAATGGATTCAAATCCAGTGGATTTATCTACCAGGTTTGTTTTGTTTCATGTGCATCTTCTGAAAACCTCTGTGTTTTATTAGCTTCATATTTATTAGCAATGGTAGTCCAGAGAGAGGCGCTAGTATATGTCAGAATGTGCATCTATCTGTTACTAGTGAGTGTTTTAGTTTGTACTTTCTTTTCTTGAATATTTGCTATGCTGATAAAATTAGTCATAGCACAAGGGGAGAGTAATTTGCATACTATTTTTATCCATTATCATTAACAAGAAATGTTAATAGTGTTCTAAAAGTGTTTTCTCTTAGTATTCATTGCTATCAGAAATTAATTTCAAATAGACAAGAAGATGTCTGAATCTAAATATAATCTGAGTATTAGTATTAAAGAACAAAGGTGTTAATACTTCATTTAATGGCAGATTCATTTGGAATCTTACTGTGAGACTTCTAAATGATTCAAGCACCAAATCGAATTTTTATTTTCTTTTTATTTTCTTTTCCTTTTTATTTTTATTTTTTATTTTTATTTTCTTTAAATTATTTTTAAATTTTTTTTTCCTTGTCTGTTTAGAAACATTTAAGATAGGATGGAAGAAACAGCCCTTTTCTCCTTTTAATTCAGGGCACAAGAAGTTTACTAGAAATTTGATAGATGGAAGACCGGAAATTGTATATTTTACCTTCACCTTTCTTAGATATTTTATAGATGGAGAGCTGATGATTCAGTCTAAAAGTCCTCAAAGAGAATATTTCATGTTTCCAAGGCCAGACTTTAGGTAAAGTTTGAAGTCCCTCATTTGAACAAGGAAAACGTAGTGGCTTCTTATGCTGAGTCCTGTCCCAAGATAGTTTAAGAGCTGTTACATTCTGAAGAAAATCAGAGAAGAAACTGGGAAGAAGTGCCAAGATTAAACTTTAGATACTGTAGAGCTTGAGAGCTTTTCCCAAGTGTGTTGTGCCCTCCTGCTGTAGTGACTGCAAATTCCTGGTGCTGTATCCTCACCAGAGCATCAGGCACCATGGTGGCATTTCCTTGGTTTTGAAATGGGAACAGCATAAAAACAAAGAAGCTTGACTAAATAGAAAGTAAATAGGTGATATCTCTGCAGGCAATACAGAGACTATGTTAAAATGCAGTCCTGGAGCTATGACATCTTTACCTTTTAAAAAGATGAAGAACTTAGTCTAATTAAACATCAGGGAAGAGAAGTTGTTGGAAGGCATCCTTCAAAAGTCTGTGGTTGTGCTCATGTGAGGAGAGCAGAGGAAGAGTGTAAACTTTGGCATGTTAAAGACTAAAGAGTGATCTCGTTCTGGACATTCTTGTCTACCTGTGGGTTTTTTTCCCCACCTGTTTTGGTACTGCCTTGTACCTCTGTGCATATATGCTTGGACCGATTCCATTAATTTGATTGCAGTTGTATCTATAAATGAGGCCCCATTTTTTGGAGGAGAGAGACAGAAGAGCAAGAGTGATTGCTGCAAGAAAGCTACTGGGGATTTTCTGGGTTTTAAATTCTGTTTCTCTCAGTTGTATCCTAAAGTGTGTGGGTTTTTGTTGTTTTGAGTTTTTTTTTCTTTGCACATGTTTTTACTGTGTATTTTCTTTCAGTTTATCAAGAAGTTTTACAATGAAACTTGGGAAAGGAGATATGGCTTCTCAGTGGATGAAGGCACACTGACACTCCTCTGGTCCATAACTGTTTCTATTTTTGCCATCGGTGGCCTTGTGGGTGCCATTATTGTTACCCCAATTGTGAAGTTCTTTGGAAGGTAAGCGTTTTGGAAAATTCGCCTTTTCTAATGTAGTTTCTCAGTCTCTCTAGGCGGCTTTACTTTTATTTAAAAAAAAAAAAANCCCAAAAAGATCTTTAAATTCTGAAAACTTACTGTGCATCATTTGAGCCACAGAAGCCATTTGCTCTGAATGGGCAGTGGGCTGAGATTTCAAGGAGTGTGACTTGTCAGGTGTTCCAAAGGAAAATACCATAAAATAGAAATGATTTCACAAAGGACTGGCAGAACCTTGTTTCATGAGTCTACTGAGTATCTTACTATGAGCAAACAAAGATGTCAACATAACTCATTTGCTTCTTAACAGCATGTGCTGTCATATGGTAATAAAAATTAACTCTTATTTCAAGCCTTGTGTCAACTTAAAATACAGTTTGAAGAACTGGACTAGGATGAAGTTCATGAATGGCTTTCCCCAAGAAGGGGGTATGCCATCCATTCTGTACAATGCAGTATTTGACCAAGTCTTGACCATAGAGAATATGAGTATTTTAGGAATGTTTGTGTTGATGTGTGTTTATATTTTTTGCTGCAGGTACTAACTAGGTATTTCTGTCAAAAAATTTTGTCATGCAGTCTTTTAAATAGAATTTTAAGGGTAATTTATAATTTATCTATATTTAGAAGGGCATGAAAAAATCCCCACCATTGTAGCATTCATTGTAACTACTTATTTGGATTTTTCTTAATTGTAAAGTCAATGTTTTTGATATCTTTTAGTCAGTTAAATCACAGGAGAACATCGTTATGGAGGCTTAAATATAAACGTAAACCTCCAGTGCTCTTACTTTCCTATTTTACATTTTCACTATTTCTATTAGATTGTACTTTCCTCTATTTTCACTCTCTAACTCACACTCTATTTTTCACTCTCCTAACTTGCCCATATGTCATTTTTCATCTCAAAGAGTGTATTTTGAGGTTCTTCCATTTCACACTTTCAGCAGGTCAGTATTCTTAGCTGTTACCCATTCTTCATTAATTTATTTTGTCACTACAACACCTGACTTTCAATTTTCAAATATTTTCCAGTTACTTTTTTTTTTTTAGGTTTTCAATTTCTTCTGTCAAATCATACATTTGGCTTTAATATACTTGTTAGAAACATGAATTTTGCCTAACTCAGATTAACTAATTCCCAGAATATTGCTGAGTCTTTATGAAAATAAAGGGAAGTAAAAATGGGTTCACAGAAGGCGAGGATTTTCAGTGAAGAGTAGAGCAGCTTTGTGTGCAGGTTTGTGAAATTGGTGGCTGATCACTGTTGTAGATACACCAGGTAGTGGAGCTGGTCAGGTTTCCAGGGCAGACCTTCACACCTGCAGACTTTTCCCCTGTTTATGATGTTTATCTCCATTAAGCCATGAAAACATCTCAATTTCAGATGCAGTGGGTGAGTGCTGGAGCAGAGATGGGAAGGGGCTGAGTGAATAAAGGCTGCTCAGCAAGGAGAGGTTCTTGAGTTTGCTGCTCACACTGCAGTGTGTTTGTCTGGTCTAGGAGCCCAGACTGACACGTCATTATGGTAATTGAGGAGCACATAGTGAAATGTTGGCAGAACAATAAAATACTTTGCTGTTAAATTGCTCAAGTGTAGGTTGGAGGGTTGTGTGTATGATGAAGCTGAGCTCCATTTACACTGACACAGAATAATGAGCTAAGGGGGATTAAAAGCTCTAGTCAGAAATAATGTATGACTTTACAAGAACACTTTTGAATCATATTGCTGTAAGGTTAAAAACATAAATTGCAAATTACTGGATTCCTGGGCCCTATTTGCTTCAAGAGACATGTAATTTTTTGAAAAGGAACCTTCATCCACATGAACATAATTCCCAAGTTCAGGTGTGGCTCTGACACTTCATAATTTAAATTCTCCTCTTCTGATGAAGAGGATCTGCTATTGTTTATTATCCTGAGCACCCAGACCAGTATGCTCAAGGGATTGTTTCAGTCACTCCCAGGGAGACATATTACCTGAGCATCACAACAGGCTCCTGTCCTTCTCCTTGGTACCACAGCCAGCGGTCACACTCAGTGCCTTCAGTGAAAGGACAGTGCAAAGGGTCGGGGTCAGGGTGCAGCAATTCCTCTGTGCCTCTCCCTGCTCCTCACTCCTCCTGTGCTCCAGGAGTGGGTCCCCATGGAGGAGATATCCCTGCTCAGGTCTGGATCACCCCCTCCTCCACTGCCCCTGTCTCACCCTTGCTCCATCTGCCCACAGAAGCCACTCCTGCAGCCCCAAACCTTGCCACAGACACTGCTTTCCATAGTAACACCCTAAATAGAGTGTCTTCTTGTTTTAATTTCCTTTTCAACTTACCAAAGTCTTTGTTTTTATCCTGCTTTGTTAGGCTGTGCTTTTCTCTTCACAGCTGCATTTTAAAAGGGCTTGCTGGCCAACTTTTTCTCAAAAGATGTGTATTTTTTAGTTTTTATTTAATTCTCCTTTAATTTAGGAGAAAAAAGCAGTATCTTCAGATGAATGTATAAGACTTGTTTGACCTGAATGAATATTTTATCTCCACTTTTCTCATTATTTGTATCACTTCAGCCATCTCAGAATGTATATCCATCTGAAAAATCTATTCTAAATAGTATAGTCATCACTCTGATGGTTATGTTGTATAGACTTGAAATTAATTTTATCTCATTTTTCAATCTTCAAGACATGTTATTCATTCAGTGCTTAAATCTCACTGGAAAGCAGGAAGAGTAATTAAAAATACAAGTGTTAAAAATATTTCCTTTTAAAAAGGTACACCCAAAAAGTTAGGTGACATTTTCAATGGGTGTGAAATTTCCAGTTGATACTTACATGTTGAAAGAAATTAGAACTGGTGGGAGAGTTTGTCACTTGCTCTAGAAAGGAAAGGGGTAGGTAGACAGCCTTCCTGGTCACTCCTTTTCTTTTTAATTGATCCCTCAAACTTGAGCAGGAAGTTCTGAAAGATGAAAACTAAAAGGAATTAAGCTGTTGGCAAATTAGAAATTTAGATATTTTGAAAATTTTAAAGTATGTTTTTGTGATTTTGTTTATACTTTTAAATAAAGTAATAATTTGCTGTAAAGAGTATTTCTTTTATTTAAAAAACCCTAATGTTTTATTGAACTGTTATAGAATGAAATTATTTTAAAAGAGGGGAAGAAATATGTGAACTTCTATTTTGGTTAATTCCAACAATTTTTAGAAAAGAGTTGATTTTTATTACTTGAATGAGCTGAAATGTTTATCCTAACTCTACAAGTAGGATATAATTTTCCTCAATGTATGGGATTAATATCGAGAATTTAAGGATGAATTTTAATGCCATGGATGATGTCACAGTTGTGAAGTTTTTGAACTGTCAAAAACTGCATGTAACATTAAAGGGCCTGTAGTTCTATCAGGTTATTGCTATTTGAAGTATATTCTTTGGGTTCTCCATACAGACATCCATGCAGATGTGTGATTATTTATATTCATGCACAGAGCCTCAGGCCTGGCACTTGGGTTTTTGGGATAAGTTTAGCATAAGTTGGATCCTTCTGTGCTTCTCAAGTACAGCTCTTTAGTTATCTATGATATGTTTTCTTTTAAACTGTGGTAAAGTTAGGAAGCTGTATCCACATGGGTATAGTGCTGTTTTTCAGAACTCTACTAAGAGGCAGTGTTTGTTAGGCACCTTTTATTTATAGGTATTTAAGAATAATAGTTTACTGTGTTTGCAGTATAACTAGATCTAACTGCCTTGATGCTGGTTTCTACCTAAGCCATCTTTGCCTTTCAGGAAATGCACACTGGTGCTCAATAACGTGTTTGCAGTGTCAGCTGCCCTGTTGATGTCCCTGTCCTTGCTGGCAGGGTCGTTTGAAATGCTCATCCTGGGCCGCATTATCATGGGTGTCGATGCAGGTAAGCTTTGGTCACACTCTACATGCCTGAAATGCTTGTGCCATGCACACACTTCCTCCTCTTCCCCAGTCAGAATTTGCTTTACACCAAAGAGGCGTTCCAGGGACTGGCTGTGCCCACACTGATTTCACTGGGACAAAATGGCACACTAAGGGCTGCAGGATCTGATGTTTGGAGGAGACACTGGAATGGATGCTCACCAGTGCTAACAACGCTGGTTGTTTCCCCACCTTTCCCCTTCCAGCTGTGATAGAGTGTATTTATTTCCATGCCATGAAAATCCCTCGACTAAGACAGCATATTCTGTTATCAACACTGCTTCCTGCTGTGTTTAGTTGTTGGATCCCATGCTGGTACCTGCAGGACTAGGGAAGATTTGATACTTCACCAATTGTTCCTAGCAATATGGGCTTCCCAGTTTGAAAGTAAACCCTGGAGGCACTGCACACCAGAATAATCTTGCAGACAGAAGGAAGGGCTTCTGCTAATTTTGATCTCAGATTACCATCAAGCAACCAAATTCTGGAGCTGTGCAAACATTGCCATTGTACTGACCAGGGTCATGCATTTGCTTGCTCTGTTCCCAGCTTTAAACACCATTCCAACTCTTGTTTTATGCCTATTTTGAAGAGTTCATTGCAGCTACAAACCTGTATTGAGAGAAACATCTGCTAATACTGTTTACAGTAAAAGTACTTCATCTGACAATGTCTGCTCTGTCTGACTGACACACTGGGCTTTTTTCCCCTGACCTGCACTAGTGTTAACATAATTTTGCTTGCTTTGGGATGAGCAAATTTAAAACATAAAATCTGCCCTTCTGGAGATTCTCATCTCTGAGTAACCTTTGGTGCTCCACATCAAAAAGCAGCCTATGCACATCACTGTTGATCTGTAACAGATAATCAATCCCATAGTTATTAAATGGTGTGAGAGTAATTTGACATGCAGGGAAAATAATTCATGTTATGTATGGATAGATATAATTCTGTTCCTTGCATATTTTTATGCCACTTTTGTAAGCAGATTATCATTCAGGCTCCTTTCAATAGAAATTTGTTGCATACCTGGCATAATAAAAATGTTATGACTTAATACATGGGTTTTGCTCTTCCTTTGTAGGCATTTCCTTAAGTGCCCTCCCCATGTATTTGAGTGAAATATCTCCTAAGGAAATCCGTGGTTCATTGGGTCAGGTCACAGCGATTTTCATTTGTATTGGTGTTTTCACTGGTCAAGTTCTGGGGCTGCCAGAAATATTTGGGCAAGTAAGTATTTAACAGACCTTTTCTATCAAAGAACACAAGCATGATCTAAATGTCATATTTTCATATTTTGACTGGATTCTTTACAAAGGTGGAAAATAGAAATATTTCTTTTTTCATTTTGAAGCACTTCGAAAAGTAGTTTCCTTCTTGTCTTCTAAAAGCACATACTAAAAGCATGACTAAGTTTGGTAGATGTGGCCAGAAGTTTCAACAGCTTGAGTGGCTTGTGTGTGCCCATATGGACATCTCCTTCTCCCCCTTTCTCCATGTACATCTACTTTTGCTGGTTTCCAGTTTCTTTTGGCACCATGGAAATGCTTAAGAGTTTTTATATTTTTGATCTCTAATTTTTCAATGTGAGATAGAGCTGAAAAAGGCTTGGATAGAGTTATTATGAGAACCTGAATGGGAAGACTCTTGCTTAGTGATTTCAGTGTTCCTTTTAGTGCAATCCTTACTTGTCCTGCTTTTAGAGTAAATGGTAGAAGAGCACAGTTAACACACACCTTTATGGAGAGATTATCTATTCAGATAAGAGGTTATCTTGCTGTCAGAGGCTGAGATTAACTTGGTGGCCACTGGATGTCATCATTACTCTGAATAAATGAGCTCGAGTTTCGTTCAGGCTGGCAATTGGAAATACAAAATCACACAATGGGTAAGGTTGGAAGGAACCACAGTGGACATCCGATCTGACCAGGTGCTTTCCATTCAGAGATGAATCTTCAAGGCAAGTGTGGAAGAAAGGTCTGCAGCAATCCTCTCACATTGAAACTTGAACACAGAATCCCTTCTGACAACCAGAACAAGTAGTAAGATGTTGGAAAGTGAGAGGAGCTTGTCCTTCTCTGTCCATTCAAAGGCACCTCCTTTGTAAATACGTGATGCCATCCTTCCTGACGCTTTTATTTTTGCCTGACCAGCTTTCTTATTCTGACCATTTATTCTTGTTCAGCTCTACTGAAGCCTAATGATTTGATTCAATTTACCCTTTATTGAAGGATAGATTTCTCCCCTGCCCATCCAAAGCAACAGATTTTAGGATAAAACTTAAAATAGCTTTTTTTGTGTGGCTTCTGGCCAGATGTCCCTTCTCTTGCCTTGGAAGCAAGTCTATTACAAATGAGTGTAGGAAATTTCAAGAGACCAATTTGATTGCCTAGAATATGGCAGCCCTTATGTAGCAGGAGTTTTTTTATATTTGGATTTTTGAAACTTGCATACACTTTCAAAGGTTGAGTATTATGCAAATACTTATTCCTTAATTTCAGCTCATTCTTGCTGGTTTTATTTCGCTTCTTGCCTTGCTTTCTTCACCTTTGTTGCCACTTCCAAATTATGGAGGTAATGTTTCTGCTTCTACAACCTTCTTTAGTGTGAAGTTGATTAATATCACACCATTAAAGACAGACATTAATTTAAGAAGAAATATGCTTCATCTGTAGAATTAGTTTTTTCAAGATGGGTAACATCAACATGTAAAAGAAGCAAAGTTTTAGCTGATGTGAATTGCAATATTTCCAGCCAATTTATCAGAGGCAGCTTGAATATTCTAGTTGGGTATGTGGGCGGGTTTTTTCTTTTACTTTGTCTTGGTTTCAGTCAAGCCAGGATTTTTTTTTCCCTGGGCTTACGGGATCCCATTGAAACTCCTTCAGTGAGAGGTAGGTTTTTTTAGCTGCTCTGTAGTTGTTTGTTTCTTATCAGATTTTGTTGTGGATAATAATAGCTGCAAATACTTGAGTTCTGCCATGGTTTCATAAGTTTTCTGCTGAGATCTGTTGTGTGTCTACTACTTGTAAATGGAGCAAATATTCAAGGGGTTATTAACCATAGTATCTAAGCAGTGATGGTTTTGAAGAAAGGAGGGACAAAAACAGAGATGAGTGTCTTGCTGGAAGAGAGTCTTTGAAAAAGGGGTGGACATGAGAAGAGCTGTCAGCATGGCTGAGGTCCTTTTTGTAAGAGGAGGTAACAGCAGCACTGCTGTGTGGTCAAGTGAACAGCGGGAAGGGAGAGGAAATGACTGCACCTTGTTAACATGAGAAACAAGGAATAGAGTGGCTTAAACTCAAAGACAATGTAAGACAACGTGGCTACGAGAATGATTTTTTTTATAAATATTGTGCGAATAATTGCATGCTGAAATTCATCAGAGTGACATTTGGAACAGACTTCTGGCTGAAGTAGCTTGAGCAGAAAATTTAAATTTCAAATTGGAGCTTGATGCATTTATGTGGATTATATGAGGTTGTTGCCTTCAGTGGTCCTGTGGAAGTCTCTCCACAGAAAAGGCAAGTGTTTATGTCAGTTGTGGGGAATGGTGTTAACAAGCATTTATTAACAACCTAAGTGATGATTTCCTCTGTTATCAAATGCAAAAGCGTCTCTTTAAACGTGTCATTGGATAAAAATAGCTCTAAAGCAATGAGTATTACTTGAGCTAATCCAAAAGCCCTTACTGCTTTTCGTATCAAGTAGGTTAAGCAGCCCTAAATTGATTTTTTATCAATCTTTTGTTTGTCAAGATTGGTCAGGTGCAGCAGGAGGCATGTGGGCAGCCCCAGGTGCAGTGGTCAGCTCTGGCTGCGTTACTGGCTGTTTCAGGGCTGGTTGGCTGCTTTCTATTCCTTCAGTATTCCCAAGCTTTCTACTGGAGCTGCTGAGGATTGACAATCTTCTCATTTCCTTCTAATACCTTTTCATGCCAGTTCTGTCAACTTATTATCATTATTCTTTTGATCAACTGTTATTTATTCCTTAGAACCTTTCTGTTTCTTTTTTTTTTTCACCACCTTCTACAGTGTGCTTGCTCTCTCCTCACTTGTGTTTTAAACTTCACCTCCTCTAGTAACACAAGCTCTTTAATCTCTTTCTCACCCCATAAACTGTTCTCTCAAATAATTCTTGGTTTAAATTTGAACCCAGGAGAACAAGATTATACAGCTAACCCAGATGAAATAATACTTAAAAAAATAGAATTATATTAAATATTTCCTGTTTTCCCTGGAAATGTCTTGTCTGAAGTATTGCAGAAATGCATTTAATTCTTTTCTGTGTCCTGCCATATTGGCATGAACTAGTCAAATATGACAATGACAAATATGACTATGTCCAATTTTTAAATTATAGTATAAAAAAGCAAATGTAACAAAAAATTTGCAATCTAATAAAGATTACCTAAATGCAGGCATTTTTAAATTCTGAATATGTAGTAATATATATAAATATATATATATTATAAATATATATATAAAATAATATATATTATTTTATTTGTCTCCAAAAGTACTAATTTTAGAATGTGTTTCTTCAGTATGCAATGCTTGCCAAGAGTGAATATTTGAAGGAAAAAGCTGCAGTTGGGACAACAGTTCTCTGCTGAAGTGACTTGATAATCTTACTTGCTTTCCACAGTCCTAATTGCCTGCCATCCAACAAATAGCACTAATGCTTTTTATTCAAGATTCTGATTTTTATAGGTCATAACCTATGAGAAAACCTACCTGCAATGTCTCCACTGAGGTTTGGGGAATTCCACCATGGAAAAGCAGGCTGGTGATCAGAGTACAGAGCACAATGACTTCACGTGCTGGTGACCTGCTTGTCCCAGCAGCCCAGCTGCTGTGTGCTCTTTTCCACGTGCTGGCATCTTGTGTTCTGTAAGCCAGAGTCCTGAATTCTTCAGGAAGCCATGGCATCTGTAGAAAACAGCTTGGTGCAGGCCCACAGGTGTGCAATGATGTTATCTGCTGTAATATGGGCACTAAATTATTGCTACTGGCTACATGGTTATTTAATTCAGGCTATTTTCGGTTGTACAACATGTGCAGCTTGCATATATCTGACTGAAGGAAAAAAAAAACAGATAATAAGATAAGGACAAACGATCTTAGACCTGTCACTTCTTCAAGCACTGCCCTTCAGGTATTTCCATTCTCTCTGTTTCTGTGCTTCTGCAATTGAATCACCCAGCCTATTTTTCCTGACAGATTGCTCCTGCAAACCAAAGGCCAGTGCACTGTCAACTTCAGTTTTGAAAGTTCAAATTTACACTTTCTGTCTTGGGGGAATATTGCCTGGCCTGATTCTGACATATTCCATGAAACTTTAGGTATCTCTCTAGCTAACTCATCTAGTTCCTCCTGCATGGAATATCCTGCTCCAGAGGTTTTCCTTAGCATGGTAACATCTAAACATTTTAAACCATCAGACTGGCTATTCTACAGCTTCATTTTGTTTAATGAAGCTGGACTTTAATCTTTCCTTAGATTATAGAGGATTTAGTTTCTGAATACATTTTCAGTAGTCACAGTGCTCTTATTTTCAGCATACATTGAGCTTCAGTATCTCTTTCATCTGTGTATGAATAGGAGAGAGAAAAAAATGTTTCACAGTGTGTATGTTTATTCAGGACAGGTAAAGCTGAAACAGTTGCCCTTGCCATGCTTTCCTCAGACCTCTGCTTTGAGCCCCTTTTCCTGCACCTGCAGTGCCAGGATAAAGTTGTTTTCCCTGGAATTTCCCCAGCAGCTGGACAGCTCTGGCTGCTTCTCTGACTGAACAGCTGCTTGCCATTGGTACTCCAATGGACAAATAGAATTGTTGTGTTTTGTTTTGTTCACTTCAGCAACCCTACTTTATAAACTTCAAGCACCCAGGAACTTGTCTAACTACATGGTTGCATTGTTTCCTAATGGATAGTGTGTTACCCTAAAAACTTTGCTTTACTTGTATCCTCAGACTCACAGGGGGGACATGAATACTATCGCTGTGTTAGTGTTTCAAGGAAAAAAAAAAAAAGTAGACTAAACAGAAAAAAAGTAAAATTCCTGATGTGTCCATCCTTTAAAGTTGCTAGTATAGTAGGTCTGGTCATTCTGTTTTAAAAAGTGTGTAATCAAGCAGTACAAGGTACAGGAGTGAGTATCAATGATCAGATTTGGGAAGTGGCTTCTTGAGAAAATGGAGTTAAACTCCTATGGGTAACCCCATGCTGG